TCAGCTCCATTTTTTTAAAAAGACGCAAATATACAGAGTAGACAAACACTGGAAGACTTTGGGGGTTAGGCAGGCTATCCTTTTGTGTCTGTTTTAGGATCACAGAATGAGCAACAACCAATGCTGTATTTTCATGGGAAAAACGGGCTAAGAGAAAAAAGGACTGGTGGCATGTCCTTTATTTTGAAGAGAAGCTGGTTCAGCTCCATAGTCATTATATGATGTACAGAACTGATCTGCCATGTAAACATTTGGGCTGGTTCTGAGATCAGTTTCATGCTGCTCGCCACCATCTGTATCTTAGCAAGTCTAATGACCTAGGAATGGGAAGTGGCACAGCTGATTAGACAGGCTTGAAATCACTGAGTTATCCAAAGCATTAGAGAAGGTCTGGTTTATTCAGTTGCTTCTGGTATTTTGGTCAAGACCAAATAAAGCAGTCTTGACCCATGTTCTTGCCAAAAAATCCTCAAGGATCTATAGATGTGTGAATCTTTCTGAAACTTCTGGGGATTGATGTCTTGGTTATCTTGTGCATTGTGTATAAAATTCAACTTGATAACGTGGTTTTTTTTAAAAAAAATGTTGTTTATAAAAACTTTGAAAATTACCCAAAGATCCGTGGATAAGTGAAATGTTTGAAATTTGGTGGGTGAACAGTAGTAAATGTTAGGGCCAGGCTTTAGCACAGCAGGTTAAACCACCAGCTGCAGTAAATGTTGTCAGATGAAAGGCTGCCAGTTCAAAGCCCATGTCAGGGTGAGCTCCTGGCCTTTAGCCCAGCTTCCACCTACCTAGCAATTTGAAAGCAACATGCTAGTAGATAAATAAGCACTGATTGAAAGTGGGGAGGTATACTTAGGCACCCATAAGAAATGCCGGCAATTTGATCAAAGGAAGAAGTTATGAACAAAGCTCTGCAGCATGGAGATGGATGTAATATGATGGATTCATTTCAGTTTGTTCAGCCTGAGGACATGGACAAGATCTTTGGAACTGTCAGGGCTACCACATGCACTCTGGACACTTGCCCTTCTTGGCTTCTTATACAAGACAGAGGGGAATTGGCCGATTGGATTTCTAACATCATCAATGCTTTGCTGGGGAAGGTAAAGTACTATCTAGTCTGAAAAAAAAGCTGTTGTAAGACCATTTTTTAAAAAAACTTCCCTGGACCCAGTAAATCTTAACAACTATTGGCTTATCTCCAATCTCCCCTACCTGGGCAAGGTTCTAGAGTGGGTGGTGGCCACCCAACTCCAGGGAATCTTGGATGAAACAGATTATCTTGACTTGTTGCAGTCTGGTTTTAGGCCTGGTCACAGAATCGAGACAGCTTTGGTCACCTTGGTAGATGATATTTGCAGAAAACTTATCAGGGGGAGTGTTTCTCTATTAGTTCACCAAAGGGAAGGGATTGGGGTCTCAGGAGCACATGACAATGAGACAACAGAAGACATGGGAAGTAGGCACACATACGAAAAACACAGAGCTTTTGAGGCAATTTTATATGCATGAGAGATGTAGTTTCCAAAAGTACCTTAGCAAGCCAGACTCCCCGGTTCATCAACCCTAGGGGATTCTAAAAGGAGGGATGAAGGAAGGAATGTCTTCAAGTTTTGGGAGAATCGGGGCTGGAATGGCCCCACTACAGGGAAAAGAAGAACTGGCTTCCCACTGAAGTATAAGTTTTGACTTGCTTTTACTCCAGGGCAGGCGTGGCTCAAAGAGAGTGCGCCACCCCCATAAGCAGAAGGTCCGTGGGTTCGATCCCTGCCAGGGAAAAATGCCAGAAAGAAAAAAATGTGGGAAATAATGGCAAACAGTGAGAGGCAGGGCATGGGGAGCCAAGACACACGTTTTGCTGAAAAGGAAGGTGTGGAGAGTCATGGAGGCTCCCCTTTTGTGGTGGACATGTACTATCTTTATTGCAGGGAAAGCGTTAGGGTTGCTTATGGCTTTGCTGACTTCTCTTTAGACACCTTTGTAGATTCAATCAGTTTATTTTATATTTAGACAAAGACTGCTGCTCAACCATTTTGGCTAATGAGCAGCAAGGCAGTGTGGGAAATGTAGTTTAACAGCAGGACCTTTTGCAATCTCTACCATTGGGGTGTGACCTTCAAGAATGGCTGTGCTTAGCCACACCCACCTCATCCCTCTTTGCATTGCCAAAGTTGCTTAATTGTTCTGAAAATCAAAATAACCTTGGGAGACATCTGCACATTACAGAATAATTCCAAACAAAATGGGTAAGTGGTTCAAATTTGGATTTGCCCCTCCCACTTTTCCTGCATGGTTCAAAAATGCTTCAAAAGCCCAAATTTGGTAGGTTTTTTCCGACTTTTAGGTTTTTCTGAACCGAACCTAAACAAGCCATAGATCTATATATATATAAATGCTCTGTGCATAATGAGTACCTTAAAAACAAAAGAACCAATGAATGAAATCACACCAAATTTGGCAACGAAATGTCTCACAACAAAAGGAGTGACCATCACTCAAAAAAATATGATTTTGTCATTTTGGAGTGGTAGTTGCTATGATTTATAGTTCACCTACAATCAAAGAGCATTATGAACTCCATCAATGATGGAATTGAACCAAACTTGGCACACAGAACTCCCATGACCAACAGAAAATATTGGAAGGGTTTGGTGGGCATTGACCTTCAGTTTGGGAGTTGTAGTTCACCTACATCCAGAGAGCACTGTGGACTCAAACAATGATGGATCTGGACCAAACTTGGCACAAGCACTCAATATGCCCAAATATGAACACAAATGGAGTTTGGGGGAAATAGACATGAACATTTGGGAATTGTAGTCACTGGGATTCACAGTTCACTTACAATCAAAGAGCATTCTGAACCCCACGAACGACAAAATCGGGGCAAACTTCCCACATAGAACCCCCATGACCAGCAGAAAATACTTAAGGCCATCCAATCCAACTCCCTTCATCAGGGCAAGAAAATGTAATCAAAGTCCTCCTGACAAAGAGCCATCCAGCTATAGATATAGATGATAGATAGATAGATAGATAGATAGATAGAGATATGATTCACACACAGAGAGATATATTATCATAGATTTGAAAGGGCCCTTAAAGAAGGACAATTATATGTTGCATGTTCCAGGGTGTGCAAACCAGACACTCTCCACATCAACACTGGCAAAGAAACAGCAAGAAATACTGTTTACCCACAAGCATAAAGAAATTACATATATTAGAAACCAACACCTTACCATTACTTTATTTTCCAGATTAACAGACTGGGCCACAGCAACGGGTGGCAGGGGACAGCTAGTGTGTGTGTATATATATATATATATATATATATATATATATATATATATGATAGATAGATATAGATATAGATATATCTGTCTGTCTCTATATGTGTGTGTGTGGTGTGTTTGTGGTGTGTGACCATGATGTAGGTGCTGCTTGGTTAAGTGGGAACAAAAGCCCGAGGGAGAGGTTCTACGGAATCTCATTCAGATCCTCCTATGGGACACCTTTGGGACTTTTTCTAGAAACTTTAAGAATTTCCTAAAAGTCAGGGGATGAACCAAACATTCTGGAACTTGGACAGCTGGCAGTGGTAAATATGTCCTCCAAGTATGACTATTTCCATCCCAATAACCTTAAAAACGAGGGAAAGGGGAGTCTCAGAAGTTTCCCCATTGCCCCCCCCCCCATGGGCTGAATCTTCCTGTTGTCAGGTTGAAAAATAACATTTTGCCCTTCCTAATTTGGGAAGCTCCCAAAAAATGAAAAGGGGGGGGGACACTGAAATTGGGCCACTGAAAATGGCAATGGGTTTCCCCAAATTGCACACACCTACATATTAGTCCTTGCAGTCTTTTCTCTTACAATCATAGAGTTATCACAATCAAGTCAAAAATTCTGCTTACATAATGTTTCAAAACTCATTCTTTGTAATATATATTTGTGTATTCCATGGGTGCGCTTTCTTTCTTTTCAGTGGAATCTGAGATGGCATTGTTACACCTAGAAGGCTAGGGCAAGGATAAACATTAATCTTCACTGATTTCAGAGTCATATTTTTTGTTCCCAATTTGTTAATGACTGTTGTATGATGAGTCTGTAGGTTCTTGAATTTCTTTTTAGAAAGGGGGGATGTTTTGGTTTTTTTAGAAATAATTTGTTCTCAATACTTATTACTACATTGGGGGAGTAAGCTGTTATCATTAGTCATCGCAGTACTTATAAATTAATTTATTCAGTAAACTTATGTACTGCTTGCTATTTGTCGTTGAACATAGTGAGCTTTCTTTAAGTTATATCCATATTGAAAGTTTAAAACTAATATTTCTTTTCACTAGTGAAAAGTACTTATTTTTTTGAAATATGTAACAATTTCACCTTTTTGCAAGATCCATGCTGTTTTTCCCTACTTTTATTTTCACAGCAACTTTATGAGTAGGTTATATTGAAGAACATTGACTAGACCAAGACACTAATCTAACTTTGTTGACTGAGCATGGCTTTGGGCTTCAGTCTCTTTAATCCAAACCTAACATTCTACCCAATGCATTCGATTTGGAAAAGTTAGTGCATTGCATTCATGGTTGTGCTTTTTCAGGAGTCACAGAATGTTGTGAAGGAAAGGCTAACAAGATCTGCAAACTTTGGGCAGATTACTATTTTTCCTTTTCCTTCCTGCCACAAATGTATAGGCTGCTATAATGACATTGTGTCCCAATACAGTTTAGTATTTTCTCAATTTATTTCTATAGAAGTTTAATAATGAAGGATTTTTTCTTTTCTTTTTTGACTGTTGTTGATTAGCTTTAGGGTACATGTTGTGCATTGCATTTCAAAAACACTGTTTTAATAGTACATGAAAATGTTTCATTAAATTTTCATGGTTTTAATAGAGAAATCTGCTAAAAATATTTCCACAGTACAGCTTCATCTCATTTCATATTGTGGATTGTTGTTCTTGTTGTTGCTATTTTACTTCTATTCAGGCACCTCTGTTATTCAAGTGACAGCTACAGATGCCGATGATTCCAACTATGGCAACAGTGCTAAAGTTGTGTATAGCATCCTCCAAGGACAGCCATACTTCTCAGTGGATCCAGAAACAGGTAAACATATGTATTGATTTAGCATTTGTATTGAAGTTTTAGAGTTTTAGAGTTCTAAATCTCTTGACCCTTAGACCCGATTTGTTTGTGCGGGACTGTGTCCCTCTTCTGATGATCTGGTTATTGACCGTAATGAAGTGAACTTGACTAACTAACTTGACTTAGCATTTGTTGTTGTCTTTCTTTTGTGTTTTTAACTGAGATTCTCCCCAATAATTTGTATAATTATTTCCAAAAAAAATGATTTGGAGCTATTTAACACGGTTAGAATTAAAGGAAAACATGGTGGGTTTTTTCTAATATTTTTCATAGAGTTGTGATTTATCAATCTAGATTAACTGGTAAATTCCCAGAATCATTAACACTATTTAGCAAGCTCTAGTCATCTGGAAAAGTCCAAAACAAAGACTTACCATGAATTACAAAAAGACCGATGATTTATAAACCCCATCATCTGATGTAAATTTTATATCATTTACATGATTATGGCCAATTCCTAGGCAAAACTGCTCAATTCTTTAAGATAGATTTGTATAATATTTTGGGATGGGCACTAAAAAAATGAAGAACTGTCTAATTCATATGATGAAAACAATAGTAATACTTTTTTTTTTTAAAAAAGTAAATTTTTCATGTGTTGAGAAATTAATGAGAGGACTCCTGGATTGGTGAGAATACTCATAGTTTGAGATTTATTCTGCCCAAAAATATTATGAGATAATTTTGCACAGAAAAGAGCAATTTTTTTTGCACAGTGTAGAATTTTCTGCTTCATATTTCTTATTTTAGTTCAAGATTATGAATTTCTGCAACAGATATTGGAGATATACTCAATGTGTTATTTCAGTGTATACAACCTTAATTTTATTTGCTATGATTAACTGTTAAAGCATACCAAACACAAATCCATTTTAATATTCTCTTTCATCTCTTTCCCTCCCAATCTCTTATTTGTTTGGTTTTAAATCCCCCCTCCTCTTTTCTACAAGGCATCATCAAGACTGCTTTGCCAGATATGAGCAGAGAAAACAGAGAACAATACCAGGTGGTCATCCAGGCCAAAGATATGGGAGGCCAGATGGGCGGATTATCAGGAACCACCACAGTGAATATCACACTAACCGACGTCAATGACAATCCACCTCGATTCCCCCAGAGTATGAACCATTTAATTATTTGAAAAGCCTCTTTAAACTCAATAGTTCTACATTCACCATCTGGGACATAAATGCAGATACTTCTGTTGCAGTGTCAGCAATTGAACATAATGTGGGAATACAGAGAGAGAGAAATGGGAATTGAATGCTTGAAATCAAAGCTTTCAATTTTTAATGTTAACTCCAATAGTAGAATTTGGCCTAACACTTTAAGGTACTAAAATTCTGAAAACTTTCCATTCCAACTAGTCAAACTAGTCCATGCCACAGAATAGACATGGTAAAAGATTTGGTTATGTATTTTTTCAGTTTTGATTTACTATTGCCCTAGTTATTTTTTCTACTTATTTTGATTTTCCCAGCTCTCTAGTAAACCAAAGAGCTCTATAAGTGTCCTTTGGGAAAAGAACATGCAAAGGAATGATTGTTTCCTCATTCATTTCCACATTTCATAAACAGACCTAGCAGCCAGTATGGTTTAATAACCTGACTGTTGGACTAGAAATCTAGAAGACCAGGATCTGCATTTTCGCTCAGCCATGGAGAACTATTGGGTGACCTTAAAAAGTCATACTTTTAGCCTCAGTGGCAGGCAATGGTAAACATCTGAAGAAATCTTGCAAAGAAAACTAGGATAGAAACACCATAAATCAGTGTTGATTGATAGGTGCATCACAATAACATACAGACGGACTAGGTGCATGGATATGCTAGCTGCAAATCCTCCATTGGACCAAAACCCAAATCTTAATGATCTGAAAACATTCAGGGATTTCCAGTCCATAATGTTGAGTTATACCAGCTAACCTGGGTTTACCCTGCATTACACAAAGTGGGGAAATGCTCTAAAGTTTCTGGAGGAACCTGTACTTTGGGAGAAACAATCAACTGTTGAAATGGACCAGTATCACCATCTCATTTTTCCTGCACTCAGCATTGCAAGGAAAAGGGACTGAATCAAGGCTATATTGTCCCCATTATCACAGAAGCTGGCTGGATAACGCCACTGCTTCATCATGATTGCGCTTAAGCTTTTGCTGATGTCAGCAAAAGTGCCTCACAAAAACAAGGAGTGCTGGAGCTCTCTGAATAGCTGCTACAGGGATGGAAACAACAGGCCAGGTAAGTGTGCTAGCCCAACAGGGACTGATTTGACCAACTAGACAATGCTCTACAGCTTGGGGGTGGTGCAACTGAATAACTCTGCTGAATCCAGGCCAGCACAGAGCATGTCTACATTGGCCCATCCCCGAATTTTGGTGTACATGTAGATGAGCTCTAAAACATTCACAGAACTGCCTGCTACAAATTAACTTTGAAAATACTCCAGAAAAATCAGGAGACTCAGTAATTATTTTCACTCACCAGGAGTGAGCCTTATACCAGTATTCTTAGGCCATTCTTGAATGTAAAGTTACCTAAGCAATAGAGGTGTGCATTTTTTGTTTCCTTGTGTTTTGAATCAAATTTGTTAAATTTTGTACTTACGAGGCAATTGTGTATACATGAGTGTGGCCCACACCAAAATTTTAAGAATCAAAACTTATCCCATACTTTCTATTTTAGTTTTGTAAACCTTAGAAGGCTACTAAAGTAAGTTTCCCTCTCAGCGCAAAAAAGCAAAGCAAAGCCAAAAAGGCTGCCTTAGTGACTTATCTTGCCCTTTCTCTAAATTAATGGAGTCTCAGCATTAGGAGCAGAAAAAAGAGAGAGCAGTGTTTTTTAGGGACAGCACAAAACTGAGAAATTGGGTTTGGGAAGGGGGAGCTCTATGTCACAGAATGCAAAGGCCCTACCCTAAACTACATTTCCCAGACTGCATCAGTATCAGAGAGCACCAATTGGGGTAACAGAGAGAAAGATTTGTCCCTCCCCAACAGCAGCCAGTGGGAGTTCCAATGAATGGTTGAATCTGCAAAGAGGAGGACTGGCAGATTCTTTTACTAAGTAAATCTCTGTGCTGGGCTGGAAAGAAATCCCTAAATAGATGGCCCCCATGCTATAGGGGAAGTATACTAATTAGTTTAGAGGCTGGATGTAGAGTTTTGATGGTGTCTTTCTGCCTGGAAGAAGGGGGTTGGGTTAGATGGCTCTAGGATTCTATGAAAATGTAGACTTTTTTAATATTGGTTTCTTTGTTAATATGAGAAAAATTCAATGGGATAGCTTTTGTGGCTTTTAAAAAAATGTTTTTCTCAAAACCTTTAAAAAATCCCTAAAATTAGTAGATGTATGAATATTTCTGAATGTTGGGGGGAATGATCCCCTTTTAGCTCCTGTCATTGTATAGAAAATTCAAGGAGATAGCTCTTGTAGTTTTTTTTTAAAAAAACTGTTGTTTACTAAAACTTTGAAAATTTCCCAAAATCCATGAATAAGTGAAACATTCTGAAATTTGGTGGGCTAACAGTGGTAAATGTGTTCAACCATTGTAGCAAGTTTAACCCCAAATAGCTTTAAAAATGCAGGAGAAAGAAGCCCCTGCAGTTCCCCCAATTATAACAATTTATGCACAATTACTCTAAAAAAATAGTAACAACATTTTGTTACTCTAATTATAGGAACACATTTTTCACTAACAATATTTTAGAAACACTTTAGAAATGAAATGCCAGTGCCCCCAATTTTTTTTAATGACGTTTGAACCATTTTATGGACCACACATCCCTACTAAACAGATCAAGACCTATAAATGACATTCATTGTAGACCTCTCTGAATGTAGACTAGACCTCTCTGAATGCCATACAGTTTTTTTCCACTGCCAAAAATCAAATAAGTATTCAAAGATATTCACTGAAATATCCATGAGTCCAAGTACTAACTACATTAGGGATTCTGTGATTTTTGTGGTCATGTATTTTCTTTCCTAGAAGGGTAATTTGATATAATTCAGTAAAACAAGTCGTCAAAGTTCAAACTACAGAGTGATCTCGATGCATTTACACTGTAGAATGAATGCAGTTTGACACCACTTTAACTGCCATGACTCCCATGCTATGGAATCCCAAGAGTTGTAGGTTGGTGAGGCAACAGCACACTTTGCCAGAGAAAGTGAAAGGCCTCATAAAACTACAACTTCCAGGTTTCCACAACATTGAGCTGTGGTAATTAAACATATTTCAAACTGATTTATTTCTATTGTGTGGATACATGCCTGTGGAGAAACTGCTAGGCAGTGCAACAAAATCAAAAGATTCTCTATCCTGTCCTCAACCTCTAATCTTAAATACAAATATTAATTCCCAATAGGTTTAAAAGGCACTGATGTATTGTTCTCTTAACTCCAACCAAACCTAAATCCTCAAAGTCCCAAGCTGTAATCCCCTCAGAACAGGATGACCAAACCCTATAATACACTTTAGAACAGCGTTTCTCAACCTGGGGGTCGGGACCCCTGGAGGGGCCGCGAGGGGGTATCAGAGAGGTCACCAATGACCATCAGAAAACACAGTATTTTCTGTTAGTCATGGGGATTCCGTGTAGAAAGTTTGGCCCAATTCTATCATTGATGGGGTTCAGAATGCTCTTTGAGTGTATGTGAACTATAAATCCCAATGACTACAACTCCCAACTGTCAAGGTCTATTTTCCCCAAACTCTACCAGTGTTTGCATTTGGGCATATAGAGTGCTTGTGCCAAGTTTGGTTCAGATCCAACATTGTTTGAGTCCACTGTGCTCTTGGGATGTAGGTGAACTACAACTCCCAAACTCAAGGTCAATGCCCACCAAACCCTTCTAGTGTTTTTTGTTGGTCATGGGAGTCCTGTATGCCACGTTTGGTTCAATTCTGTTCTTGGTGGAGTTCAGAATGCTCTTTGATTGTAGGTGAACTATAAATTCCAGCAACTACAACTCTCAAATGACAATCAATCGCCCCTCTCCCAACCCCACCAGTATTAAATTTGGGCATATTGGACATTTGTGCCAAATTTGGCCCAGTGAATGAAAATACATCCTGCATATAAGACATTTACATTATGATTCATAACAGGAGCAAAGTTACAGTTATGAAGTCACAACGAAAATAATATTGTGTTGGGGGTCACCACAACATGAGGAACTGTATCAAGGGGTCACGACATTAGGAAGGTTGAGAAACACTGCTTTAGAAGCACATTATATTACCATGAACTTCTTCTATAGCAAAACTACACACATCTACCCAAAGTCTCAAAGTAAAATATCTTACCTCATTAAATGTTATATAGTTAAAATAAAAAAGTAAGTGCCACTCACTCTCCTCTCAAAACTAATGAAATAGCTACCTTTGCTTGTGACCTGCCAAGAGAAAAGTCAAGCTTAAGTGGCACTCCTAAAAATTCACTGTTGATAGATGATGCTTGCCATTCACTGATGTTGAGCATAGCAATATATCTTAAAGGTATTGAGGATTTTCCCCCTTGCAATCATTCTTCATTTGTTCCATGTGTAGTAGTAATGTGATAGATACCTTTGTCATTCCTACTATATTAGCAGAGCTATAGAATGGTTAGGACAAATGTCTACCCCAGAGTCCAAAAGGGTCACAGTTTCAAGGGGAGGTATTTTCCACTTAACTTTGACTTCTGACTCTACCATTCTTTATCACTTCTTCTGCTTTGATATTTTGCTCTGAAATGTCACAATATCAGCAAAGAACTTCAGTGTTCAGTAAGAGAGGGCATTGGGTATTTCTGTCATTACTGGACAGGAGCACTACTTTAGATTTCAATAAGGCAAGAGTTTAGCACAGGTCATAACAATCTACATTTCTAAATGAGTCACGCAAATGTAAGGTCTATAATGTTTCCAATCCAAGAGGGCTCAGATAGTGACATTTTTCTAAGCAGTAGTACATTTGTGTAGAAATTATGTATATAGTTACTATGATTTTTATTATTACTGTGCAGCCCCACAATATAGGGTGCTGCGAAGTGCACGCAAATCTCAGTGCACCATTGTGCATTTAACATACTATTATAACCCAAACTTTTAAAAACGTATCTGCCCTTACTACC